GGGGGGGGGGGGGGGGGGAATACGCAAAAAAACATAAAACACTGGTCATTAGAACCGTAGGGGTGGAGCTATATGTATTAGTGTTGGGGCAACAGCCCCAATTAACTTTTGAGTGGTTAATTATACAAATTAATATGGCAACAAAGTTATGTTCAATTTATCTCATCATCCCCCCTAATTTTTTTTTAAATTTAAATAGTGACCCAATTTTTTTTGTCTTCAATAAGTTAGTGGTCAACTTGTTTCCCTAACCTACTAAACCAAGTGTTTTTGTTATTAAAATAGGTAAAATAGAAGTGTGATTCATTAACTCATCATATATATTAGCCATATATAGCATCTCTCTTATTTAATACACATTCTTATATTTTTCAAAATTATTATATAATAACATACGAGTAGATGCAGATGATAAGTTATGTTGACCCAAAAATATTTTTTCTCTTTCAAAAATATCAATTCCTCAACAAGATTAAAAAAATACTTACAAATTTATCATTGAATTGATCAATTATATAAATTCTTGAGATTTGAAACAATGTAATCCTTCTAAAAATATCAATTTCTCAACAAGATTAAAAGAAAATTACTTAAAAATTTATTATAGAATCAATTAGTTATAGATGATTCTTGAGATTTTAAACAATATCGTTGTTAAATTCTGAATTGATTTGGGTTTCAATTTTTATATAGTAATTATGTTTTGGAGGCTAATATGTTTCTCACAGCTGAACTTTTAAAAAAAAATTCTACTAAATTTACAGTCAATTTAATCCTTATTTCTAGAGGTGGTGGAGAATTTTTTATACCAATTGATTAATTTTTTTTATTATATTTTTGCCTCCACTATGACATAATTCTGACTTCGCCCCTTTGAGAACAAGCATGGGTATCTTAGTGGTATGAGGTTGGACTTGACGGAAATTGTAAATTCAAACGCGTAGAATTCAATCTCTACCAATTATCTTGAGTTTAATTGAAATCTATATTCAAAGTTTACTCTACAAGATTGAATCCAATGTTACCTCGCATTAGAGAGTGGAAAAAAAATGAGAGCAATGGGAAAAGTGTAATTGAACGTACCATCTTAAAATTGCCAAACCCTAAATCAGTTACATGTGGTTTTCAGACCTCTCACCCCCAACGCTAAACCTAACTCTTCTAGAGCCCAACCTTCCGCACGTGCCAGCCTTTTTGTGCGCCTATTTCGGCTTTGCCTATTTGTTTGTCCGTGTCTTGACCTACGTGTGTTAGGCTGTTCCACTCGAGCCTATATGCCATCTTTAATGACCAAAACACCCCTACATAGTCATTAACATTATGTTACCTCATGTATGGAACAATTTATGACACAAACAACTTTTATGTAATGTTCTATTTTGTTTCATAATTATGGTAGATTTTTTATTTTTAAATTTTGATAATATCATTTTTAAGGATGATGTTATGTACCCAATATAAATTAACATTTATAACGACTTCAACAACCCAGTTTTAAATCTCGCTCTCACATTATTGTACTAAAAAAATATTATTTTTTTTAACTTCTAATTTATAATTTTGAAATATCTTGTATAATTAAAATCATAGTCTATTTGCATTATTTTACCAAAAAATTATTTTGACTTCTAATGTAAACTCTTCTGATAGGTTAGCTTAGGTCATTGAGATGACTTTTTAATTCTATTGTTATTAGCCATTTATATATCTTAGTGAGTTTTTGTTTAATTAGGATGGTATATGAAGAATGACCGTCATAGCCTGTATTTTAAGATTGAATTTAAGTTATTTTCATCCAAAAAAGTCTAACTTTATGATAAAATTAAGCGAGACTAAGCCTTGATTTCCATGTAAGTGTTGGGAGATTGAGAACCCAATTTGGAAATGTATTAGTTTATCGTGGGTGGATCGAGTAAAAATTAATATCATAAATAGACCGCATGTAGAAAATGGCCTAAGTTTTTAGCATTTTTATTTTAAAAACAAAGTACCATTAATGTCATGATACATATAAAAATGCATCTACCCATGATTTTATATAAGTAGAAAATCTTATTAATTAGTCGGTTTGTGTTCTGGTAGAGGCTATTTAAGTCATTTGAGACTCTTATAAATGACTCAGGTCTTTGGATCTTCTTCCTTCCTTTAAAAACCTTATTAAAATTTCTTTTGTCAAATTGAAGAAGAAATTGAAAGAATATAAAATATTCTTGAGTAAAATAGGAGGTGTAGAAGAACAGCGACTCTTCTCTTCCTCTCCTCTCTCTTTGGGCTTGTGTTTTATCGGAGAGAGAGAGAGACATAGAAAAATTGATGTATATATAAGAGTTACAAGCCTCCATCTTTTTATATATATATTTTGTTTGTTCATCTCTCTTTCCAGAAGGCGATTGCAGAGAGCACAGCACTCACAGCAAAGAAGAAAGAAAAGGAGAGAAAGAGAAAGTTATAGACACGACAGCCTCGGAGACACCAGATAGAGAAAGAGAAGTAGAGAGAGAGAGAGAGAGAGAGAGAGAATAATTCAAGAGGTCATCGATCCCACAGAAGAGAAAACGATGTTCAAGTGCTTTGGACGCTTTTGCAACCTGCAACTCTGAGAGGTATATATGGGTACATGAATAAAGCTGAAAAAAACATTAAAAATTAACAAATTCAAAATTCTCTTTTTCTCTGTTGTATGGTCTTGAATTTCTCCTTTTATTCTATCATGGGTGTTCTTGTTTTGGTCGCACATGACCGATCTATGGCTAAATTGAGCAGCATAGTGAAGAGGAGGTGGCTACTGTGTGGCTGGGGAGTGAGATGATGATGAAGAAGAAGACACTGATATGGGCATAGCAACACCACCGCTTCAATCAGTTATACCTCGTTCAAAGGTTCACCATCAACTTCAATCCACAGACAAGTTCAATTCTTTGAATTCTATGTCCCAAGATTATCACCAAGGTCTTTTCAGTTTCTCGAATGGGTTCGAGAGATCACAACAAGAGCAACAGCACCAACAGCACATAGCACAGCAGATCCGAAGGGATAAGCTAAGAGTGCCGGGCTTCGAGCCGCCGTCACCATTAGTGGCTATAGACGAAGAAGAATCCGGTGGAATTCCGGGGTATGAGACGGCCGGGATGTTGTCAGAAATGTTCAATTTTCCATCTGGGTCCGCCACAGCCGCAGAATTGTTGGGGAACAACCAGATACCCCCGAATTATCGGAACCCACGGCCTGCTCCGGCCACCGGAGTGAGCACTGACTGGTATGGAAACCGGCAAGGGATGGTGGTGGGTGATCTGGGACCGATGGATGAATCCAAGAATCAAAACATTGTGAATGACCGTGACAGTATAGCTGCTCATCATCACCATCAGATTTCAGGCATTAATGCAGACTCTGCAGCTGCCATGCAACTTTTTCTGATGAACCCACAACCAAGGTCACCTTCACCATCACCTTCTCATCATCCTCCCGCAACATCTTCTACACTTCACATGTTGCTTCCAAACCCATCAACTACTACCACTCTTCATGGGTTTCATAACCCAGTTGGTGCTTCATCCCCATCAGGAGGGGCTTTTGGTCCATCTCAATTCACATGGGTTCATGATAGTAGTCATGAAGGGGGTAGTACTGCTACCCAACTCAACAATTCTGGTGAAATTGGAGGTGTTGTGGAAGGTCAAGGCCTTTCTTTGTCACTTTCTTCACTGCAACACTTGGAAGCAGCAAAAGTTGAGGAATTGAGGATGGGAGATGGTGGGATGTTGTTCTTCAACCAAGGTGGAGGGTCTACTTCTGCACAATATACCTATAAGAATTTGGGTGGCCACCACCACCCATTTCATTTGCAAGGTGGGGTGGGTCAGAACCACCAAGTTCATGGTGGGATTGGTTCTTCATTAGGGGTGGTCAATGTTTTGAGGAATTCCAAGTATGCCAAGGCTGCCCAAGACTTGCTGGAAGAGTTTTGTAGTGTTGGTAGGGGTCAATTCAAGAAGAACAAGTTTGGAAGGCATAACATAAACCCTAGTTCCAATCTAAGTGGTGCTGGTGCTGGTACTGGTCCTGGTTCTTCATCTTCTTCAAAGGATCTCCCTCCCTTGTCAGCTTCAGATAGGCTTGAGCACCAGAGAAGGAAGGTCAAACTTCTATCCATGCTTGATGAGGCAAGTAATCTCTCTCTCTCTCTCTCACCAAAGTCAAGCACCAATCATTTATTTAGTCCATTAATTATGAAATCCTCCGGGGACAATAGCAATATCCGGCAAATTTCGAACAATAATTTAAGGTCTTGTATAGAGAAAGCCGGCTGGTGTAATAGGGTTCCATAGAGTGAGTTGGTTGAGTTTGATTAATCAAATTTTATAAAATCAATAGTTAATTATCAACAATTCGGTTGGTGAACTTGGTGGGGTTTTGGGCACTTTTGAATTATCGTTCGGTGATGACTTTGGAGAGACTACTATTAGGAGTATGTCCACTAAGAAACGACGGTCCTTATGATTGTTAATGCGGTTGCCAGGAATGTAGTTTCCCCAAACCTTCCGTTACCCATCGTGGCAATATTTGCAGAGAAAGCCATTGTTTTCTACTGAGTTGACCCATCCATTGATAGTTTTCTTTCCCTTTTCTCTTGTATTTGTTTTTATGCATAGTTGTTTGTAATAGGAAGAGAGGGCAAAGCACCATAAACACCGATATTCTCTTGCAATTCCCATTAATATACTGTAAAAGACTTGCATTCATCATATTAATTCATCTGCTTCGAGTATTCCTTGAAGTGCCTAAAGTTTTTTCGACAAATTTCAGAATTTTTTGTACAATAGCAGTATTAAAATGGGTGATCCTTTAGGAAGTCATCGTGCTAAACATCTACCAACAATAAAAAAATCAAAATTACAGAAATTCTGAATGGTGGCGTCTCCTTCTCATCTTCGCGTGACCTTTCTATTAGCTACAATTTGGCTTTGCTAAACTAAACATATGAGCTATCATCAATTCGAATAGTTGCCTTTTATTCTCTTATTTTTATTTATGGCTAACTGATTAACTTCCCACTTTCATGGTAATTTCGAGATATGGTTTTAATTTTGAGAGCACTGGCTCATTGACCTGGGGTTTTACAGGTAGATCGAAGATACAACCATTACTGTGAGCAGATGCAAATGGTGGTAAACTCATTCGACTTGGTGATGGGTTTTGGTTCGGCAGTTCCGTACACAGCTCTTGCCTTAAAGGCCATGTCTCGGCATTTCCGATGTCTTAAGGATGCTGTAGCAGCACAATTGAAGCACAGTTGCGAGCTGTTGGGAGAGAAAGACGCAGGCACATCAGGAGTGACAAAGGGAGAGACTCCAAGGCTTAGATTGCTTGAGCAAAGCCTAAGACAGCAAAGAGCATTTCATCAAATGGGTATGATGGAACAAGAAGCTTGGAGACCCCAAAGAGGCTTGCCTGAACGTTCTGTCAACATTTTGAGAGCTTGGCTTTTTGAGCATTTTCTGCACCCGTACGTTAACCTTTCCCTTCTTCACTGTCTGAAATCAATTAGTACAAGTGTACAACATTATAGCTCACTATGTTAGTTTAAAATACAGATCAGATCACCGTATTTATAAAGTTTGTTTGGCACTTTGATTAGTTTTTGAACTTTGAAGAAACTGTAATGCAGTGTCCTTTGATGTTGTCTCCGCAGCTGAAAAGCTGAAAAAGTTTTTCTTCATAAATTCTCCAGAAACTTTTCCCCTGATTATACGTAGTAACCAATTAGTCTCTCGCTAACCCTTTTTATCACTACGTAAAAAGTACCCCGTAACCTATTAAACCATCTCTTCAAAAAAAAAAAAAAAAACCTACTAAACCACATCCTCTCTCTCTTCCACTCTCTCTGCACACACACAGTGATTCATACTCTGTGACCGTCGTGTGAAAATCTAGTGGATGTCATGAGAGAGAGAGAGATGAGTGATAAAGGTAAAGTTGTCATCTTTACTTCTTTTACTGCTACAGTGGTACAACTGATGCCGATCATCTCTCTTAGATTGTCACGCTCATGCAGGGAAATATAGAAAGCATCAATGGGTGCATAAAGCTGCTTGTCCCTTTCTATGGTTCTGGTAAGGACTTTAATGTCATTTTCTGGTCTCTTTCTCAGGTATCCAAGCGACGCAGATAAGCATCTGTTGGCACGACAGACTGGTCTATCGAGAAACCAGGTTCGTCCTTTATCTATCTCCTTCCATGCACATGCATTACATGATATCTGATAGCAACAAGATAGAGCAAGCGAGGGGATGAGAGAGAAAGAGATCATCATTTTTGGTACTAAGCTTTTTCAATAAAAACTTAACAGTGCTTGAAGATGAGAGAGAGAGAGAGAGAGAGAGAGAGAGAAACCCTTAGAGAAGAAGTGACCGTCAGTAAGTTCAGTTGGACTTGCATGGTTTTGGGTTTTATTTCTCTGGATTTTCTTCTTTCTGTTAGAGGAAGCCCAAAACTTTTGTTTTCTTTCCTTTGTTTCTTGGGATTGTTTGGTATTAGTGACATAAATTCTGAAAAAGTGAAAAAAATGTGCGAAGAGGGAAGACAAGTACACAAGAGATGAGTGTGTGGCAGCTCTCTCTCTCTCTCTCTGACATCCAACAACACAATTAGAACGATTAAAGGCAGTAAATTACATCAGTACGTAATAGTAGATTTCGTGCTTTATTTCTTTCTCGTCATACTTTAGTACTGTCGTCTTCATTATTTATACAGTTGTTGTTGTGGGATAAACCATATGACTTTTGTAAGCAACTTTACTGCACGCTTCCACATATTTTTATGGTATAATAATTTGTCTCTTCCTGTGTTTGTATGTTTCGACAAAAAGTAAATAATAATCAACGGTTATTTCATCGCTTTCATGAACAGTGAAATTTGATTTTTTTTCTTCTATTTATATTCATTCTTCTCTGAAACAATTACATAAATCATTTGCATGAAAGCTAACCTATATCCCTACAGCTAAAGTGCATTAAAAATGTCAAATTTATGTGTCATGCACGAAACTTCGACCAAGTTTAACTACATAATCCATTATTATTTTTATTTTTTAAGGATTTATGCTAGTAGTTGGTCCTAGTAACGGAAGTATCGTACACGGAACCATCCCTATTATTATTCAATTGTGAATCAAGTCAATAAACTATTGTTGTAAATTAAATTCAAATAATAATATTTTTTTAAAAAATAAGATCCCAAATTTTGAGAAATGGGATCCTTTATTTATTTATTTTTTTGGTAGAAAAATGGGATCTCCAATGTCTGTTAATAATAAACATTTTTTGCCCCACCTAGCTACATAATATATAATTTCTGACATCGTATATAATTCCAAAATATCTACATAGATTAACTCAAGGGCTACATTAAGAAGGTGCATTAATGTTATTGAGACCAAAAATTTTGACCTAAATTGATCTTACAGTATTGTTGTGATTGTATCTCTTGAACTCTTTTGTGAAAATTTTACTCCATCTGCTGCAGTGCACGTAGGAAATCATTTATTAGCTCCATCAAGTCATTTCTCTCTCTTTATTAGAGGACATTCTTATCATCTTGTGTTTTTTAATGTATGTGTTTTATATTGTGTGTTTCTTCAGGTCTCAAACTGGTTCATTAATGCCAGGGTCAGGTTGTGGAAACCTATGGTGGAAGAGATGTACCAGCAAGAGAGCAAAGAAGAGACAGAGGAAAGAGAAAGGAACCCAAACAGTGGCAATGCACAAACTCCAACGCCTACTACAACAACAGCAACAGCCATGGCATCAGCATCAACAACAACAACTCCTTCATCTATTACAGCAACAGGCAAAAAATCCGAAATCAATGCCATTGACAATGACCCTTCGCTCATCGCAATCAATAATAGACAATGCTTCTCGGAAAACCAAGCAAAACAGACGAACTGCTCCACCACCACTATGCCCACTACAACTCTGACCACCACCGGTGTCACCGCCTTGACACCAGACACATGTCGCCGTGGCGGCATGGTTGGAGCTGATTATGGGACGACCACCACCACATCTGGGAATGCTGACATTGGGTCAACAGTTATAAGGTTTGGGACCGCTGCCGGTGATGTTTCACTCACTTTAGGGCTACGTCATGCAGGAAACCTGCCGGAGAAGAGTCCTTTTTCAGTCAGAGACTTTGGGGGCTTTTGAAATAATACTTATTAGTGTCTGAAAAACAAAATTAGAGCTCTCATGGGATTATTAGTACTTATTTTTTTGCTCTAAATCTACCAAGAAAAATATATCATGGGAAAGGTAACTCTTGTGTTAGCTAGCAATATGAGGTGTATTATAACTGTATAGAGTATTGTTTTGCATCTATCATTTATAAGGTTTTGTACTTTATTTTCTCTAAAATAACATGAAACTATGTTTAGACTTTAGAGGGAATGAAAGGGTTATGAGAAGAATTGATTTCCTTTCTCTTTATGGGTTGAATTTTTCTTTGTTTCTCACTAGTCAAAAATTTGTTAATTCAATCACTCAGATCTGTCGATAATTAAATTTAACGGATCTGAATATTATTGATCATATCCATAAAATCCACTATTAACTCTTACTAAATGCGACGGTGTATGAATGAACTTGATCAAAATTGATAAGACTTGAATCAAGAGAATCCAGATTCCTTTGGCTAAATATAGATTGATAGTTTTTGATATGTTTTCGTTTTATCAGAAAGGTATTTGAAACTTTGTGATCATGAGCGAGTAATGTTCTTACATGATTCATCTTAGGAGTTTAATATTTGGCAATAACTTTAGTCTCGGCATCGAGATTGCTTTCAAAGGACCACATAATCTTTATTAAGAGGTGGTTGTTGGAAACACACCTTCCTCAACACTACAAGCGATACAATTGCTTTGTTTACAATAATAAAAATTTTGTTATCTTTGCTTTCTCCAACTACATAATATGAACTCTAATTACATATGAAACCCTAACAATGAAATTAAATGAAAAATCTATCGCTAACATATTATGTGGCGTGGAATGAGGTTTATTAACTTTTATGATATAGAAATATGGTCGCGTGTATAAGATGCAACAGAAGGCGAGAAGGAACTAACAGAGACCTACTTTGAGCAATGCTAGTCATTTAGCTAGAAATGGTACACAAAATTTTGCAGTGCTATCTTTGAATAAAATTATGATAGTTTTAAAATTTTTTGGTTTATTGTATAAAATTCCGATTTATTGATATTGTCTGTTCAATTCAGCTTAATTTTTTTTATATTATTTTCTTAAGGAGACTGACGGTTTTAATGTACTATATAATGTTTTCATGTTTTAGGTAGTTTGGAGTTGTTTTTCAATCATATTTCAGTGTGTTTTTTCGACACATTCATCCCCTATACTCAAGATTTTTTTTCCTTATATCTTCCTTGTGTGAATGTAAGTTGCATTATTAATTGTACGTTCACGGAGAACTGTGGTTTGAAATTGAACGTAATCGTTGTAGTAGCATCAAAATTTTTGATAAAACATTGGTACACCATTTTTTTTGTCGATTGTTCGGTAGAGAAAACGAAGGAAAACAAACCCCAGATGAGATTCTCTCTCTTCTACAATCTTTCGCTATAGACATGGTAGGTTAGTTATGTTACTTGTTAACCGATTCCACAGCAGTTCCTTAAAAGCAGAACACAATTGAATGCAAAGCAACAATTACTCTTTACCTAATACGTTGCTTTCTAAATGAGAAACGAACGCCATAAATTAACAACAATAATAACTGAATGCCTACAAGTTGGTTTACAATGTTGTTCAGCTGCTAAAATCAGTTCATGTTTGAAAAAGATATGTGCACCAGAGGTCAAAACCCTAGTGAGCTTTAAAACCAAACAATATGGAAAAGCTCGGACCTTTCCTCTCTAGTTTTTGTCACATACCTAGATATTAACTACACAGCAATGTCACTTTCTAGTGTTCTCCATCATTGACAGGTACAGATTTCCCAGGAAAACATCACTAAAGAAAAAAAATTCATTATACCCGACGTGATTTTTTGATACGGTATTAAAAAAATAAAAATTTTAATTAGGTCAAAGTTATTTTTCAATGAGATTCAACAAAATTAAAGTCGAACTTAAGAGCCTGAGACTTATTTCTAGTTTTCTAGATTGAACCTAAATGGGTTTGTTAAGTTATAATTTTACTTGATTAGATTGTAACATTCGGTATCATAAAAAAAAAAAATTCTGGTAATTGAATTTGCAATTAAATTAATTTAATGGATGGTCTTCCACCTAAGGCATGGTAGGTTCTTAACTCATCTATAGGGCATGTTTTTGGGCACACTGGCCAAGTGAAGACATCACAGTTGACATCTAAAACTGCTGGAACCTGCAAATTAAACACAATGTTTCAGAAACTCAAATCTCACTTCCCTAGATGTAAGCCAGTTCTCACTTTACACTCAAAGAATATGGTAGTAGCCTAGTAGCTCAGCCGACCACGCTGTGAAAAAAACAAAAAAAGAAAGACCAAAATCCTTTACGAATGGTTAGAGTTTTTTAAAATGGAACGACAAGTTGATGGTTTAAGTCTTTCTCCTTTTTCCTCCCTTGTAATCAAAAAATATCGATGCCTATAAAAAAAGAGAGAGAGAGAGAGAGAAAGAACCTACCCCTCTCTCTCTCTCTCTCTCTGATGATTTTGAACAGAAGTGAGGGTTGGCATTAATGGATGATATAAATGTTCATTTTGTGGTGGGTGGCCATTTCTGCATTAAGGTCCACAACATCTGGGCTCGACCCCGACTGATAGGCAGGTTGTAAATGTGGTCATGTCCAGGCTTTCTGGGGAACTTCAGAATGGTTTTTTTGTCTTGCTCGGTCATATAAATTGCGGAATGTATGTGGACCAAGATTCAAATAGAGTTAGGTTAGGTTATCATAAATCTGTTTTTTTTCTAAGAAATATGGCAGCCCAGTGGGCATTAGACGACAACAAAAGGGGTGGACCCCTTATCTTGTTTGGTAAACACGACCAATCAGATTAGATACCTGTAAGTGGACCCCCACCTCCGATGGGAGAGATGGGACATTTGATGTCGGGCTTGGGCCCTTATTAAGTTGTGAAAGTCTTTTCGTATGTTGAGGAAATTTATATCAATAATGTATTTTTCGAGACTTAGCAATTCATTTTAAATTCGAACACAATCACCCCCTAAATTATGCATATCATAAATCTGAATGACCCGAGAAACTTGATTTTAAGATGAACTTATGCTTCTTCATTTTTTAAATAATTGAATCTGATGATGCTAAAAATTGGTAAGGCTAAGTTCGGACCCTTTTGTTAGGATATATTAATTCGGATCTTTCAGCTCATAATTACTAGTTTTGGAGGCACATATCGAAAATTAATATTGACATGATCCTCGTGCACACGATAACAACGATAATTTATACCTTTCATAAAGTCACGTCACTCTTAAGTAATATAATCTCTAACGACCAAATATTTTGCCAAATGGATCGTAACAACCCCAAACGGATTACATTGATTATGGAAAAATCGCGTTGGTTACATGCTCGCAAAGATCACACAAGGCAAATTGTACACTATAATTCTGTAACCTTATTTCCCAAGTAATAGAAAACTTCCCCAAAAACAAGAGACTCCATTAAAGTAGACTATCCAAACTTCTAAGCTGATAAACCACCATAAATTCCCAGTTTATTAATCTATGTTCGTAGCTATTAACTCCTGAATCGATTGTTCAATGTCCAAGAGCTTAGAAGCTCTGACTGGATATTCCAGTAAATCTCATCAAAGTCCTTAACAAGATTCTCTAACCATTCACCTCTATTTAACCGTGCAGAACACACCATCTAAATCTATTTTTTCCCCTAAAATTTTTCATGAAACTTTTAAAATGACTAATTTCATAAGTAACAAGACTCAATTCAACGTTTTAGTACGTATGATAGTTTCTAACTTATAATTGCTCTGTTACCGACAAAGATATTGAAATTTCTATTGGTTCATCTTTGGTTGGAGACATGGGCGGGGCAGGAGAAGATGAGGAATCAGAAGAGAACACACTAAATGCAAAAGGACCAATGTCTCTGCTCAAAATTCAATGGTGGATAATGAATTCTGTCCTGGAAATTTTATTACTTTGATTTTTGAGTATGGCGGTTCTGGATTGATGAGCATATTGTTCTTGCAATTCATAGCACTATAGTGTTACTGCTTCGTATTGTAAATTACATTTACAAGCCTCCATCCATTAAATTTTCACCCTAAGTAACACCAAGAATTTTAGTCTCAGAACGTTTTTTTTCTTTTTTGAAGTTATTTCATAGATTTTATTAAGCTATTACAACCAAAAAAAAAATTGCGACTCTTTCTTTTTTTTTTTTGCAACCAACCAATAAGCATTGACAAAAGTAACTTTATGCCACATTTTATAAATTTACAAAAATTTATAAGATTTTTGGTATCTCTCTTAAATGGTGTTAATTTTGAATCTTGCAATCGATTAAAGTGAGACCACGAGGAATTTATCTTTTATTATTATCCTAATCTCAGTATCGATAGTCAGTTTTTGGTTGAATCGAAGAGAGAATTAATTGAAGTGTGAGTAAGTTGACTCGAATACACCTGATCGTTAAATCATAAAAAAAAAAAGGGTGTTAATTATATTATGAACGAAAATCCATGCGCAGACTGAAATATCCACACTAAGTTGAATTTTACAGAGAAATTTTTTCCGTTCACAATTTAAGGGCATTAAGCTATGTATTCAACTCAACTCAACTCAACATAAAATCCGTTAATGATTGCTCTTTTCAGTTTTCATGGCCTTGTACTTGGGTCACCGACTCACCGGGCATCAATCACAGGCGACAACGGTGGATGCTTGGATTGCTGTCTATGGCACATACAGACATTGCGCCCACAAGTGACTTAACATCAAGCTGTTGCTGAGCAAGGACCACATTGTCCTATTCTGACAATGATCAAAGAGGACCACCTTCGAATTTAATTTCCTCACAAATTACTAGGAACATAATCGATAGCTTTTATAGAGAACAAAGACTTGTTTGAATAAATTTTTAGAGAAGATTTAATTAATTTCTCCAAACTCAAATCATTCTTTACAACAATAGGATTTAACATTGAATTCAGTTATGTTTGATATGTAATATATATACATATAGGACCTACAGATATATCATAATTATTAATAATTATTTGTCTCATAAATGACTATTTTATCCTTAGTCAATCCAATTCATACTCATATTTAGGAGTACAATTATCTTTTGCATCCTTAATCCCTTAATCCATCTTCCCAAAACCACCCCACCCCTAGGCTTTGACAAAATCCATGATCATGGATTTAATATTCGAACAAGCTATGAGTCGAGTTTTGGAATTCAGAATTAAAATTT